TGTACAGATAATTTAATTTGCCTCTCTTCTCTTATATTAACTTTTGTTATATAAAACTTCGGATTACGTGCATGTTTTTGAAAAGACACAAATTTTTAAAAAAAAAATTATGTTTAAAATTTGATGTTGAATTCAAAAACGTTTATTTGGTAACCAGACTTAATAAACCTAAGAGATCAAATTTGAAGTATACCTTACTTGTTCTTACTAACATCTGCTTAATTAATTATTCTTAGGGAAAGAACCTTAAAAACTGCTGAAACATTTCATGCTAGAAAACAAGATATTAGAAACTTTTGAACTCATTCAATAAGGGAAAAAAATATTCGAAACGTAGTTCCATAATTAAGCATTTTTTCTACTCGATCGCCAACACACGAGGTTTATAAGAAATATCTCCTAGAAGTTATGTGGCCACTATTTCTGGGTTGTCAGAATATGAAATTCGTATAGAGAAAACAATGCATTTCGAGGTAAAGAAAATTACTTAAATTTGATAGTTTTTCTAAATAATGCGTTTCTTTTCCTTAATCTAGGTGAAATAATATTCAACATGTAATAACAGCATAAAAGCTACTAAAGAAGTGTTCCAGTGAAATTCAGTTTTTAAATGCTAATTAAATTTGCTTCATTGAAAGTTTTTGTATATAAATAATTACGGTAAATTAAAATGAACTGTTTTTAAGTGTTTATAGTTAATCGAGTAATATAATATTTTTATGGAAATAAAAATTATTTTTAATGTGCAAGATTACTTTTCTTACAATGGTTCATGGTTCTTAAATTCTCTTGCTCTTGAACTCAGAAACCTTCGTTATTAAAATTATTCAAATAGTTTAACTTTTATATGGCTTCTTCTTTTTCATTTTAACTTTCATATGGCTGTGTTTTCAACCATATGAAAGTTAAAATGAAAAATATTACTTTTACGTAAATTTTAATACATGTAATAATTTAATTTTTTTAGAAATAGTTCAGTAGTTTTAAACAATGAGCTTACTTCGATATAACAAACAAGTTTAATTAGTTCATCAAAAAGTTGTCAGAGACACTATCGAATCGGGAGCTAGCATATTTTTCCACTCTGCAGTTTTACTGCAAAAACAGTGAATTATCCCTTTAAAAATGGTTAAGAAATATTTAATTCCTTTCGTTTTCCAGTTATTGAAATTTTTAAAATAATTAAAATTCTATCTAAATCCTTAGATAAATAGTTATTCATGAACTAGACTAAAGAAATGCAAGGAAAGGGGTTAACTTCAGTTACAAGCGGAATTTCAGATATTGTTATTTTCTAGTAACTAACAAAACACATTTAAAATCTTCTTGAATTTATTCCTGAACACACTTTAATTGCTCTTCTGAAGCCCCGTCCCTTCTAAGGCCGTTCTTTGGCACCCTAGGTTCGATAAGGGATAAAGCAATTACGCAAGGCTTTCCTCTCTTTAACTGCTTTTTCACACAGCTGGGGCAAAAGAAAAGGAACGCAATGGTTTCCCGCCTGAATAGCCAGCGGCTAGTTAGAAAACTGCAAGACAAAAGCCCACAAGACGAATGCCCATTTAAAAAGAACACACATTTTCAGGAAATCCAAAATAGCTATGACGTTCTGAAAAATTTTACGAGTAATAATTATTATGATTAAAAATGAAATTTCAAGTGGGAATGAAATTAATTTATTTAAAATCCAAGTTATCAAAATTTAACTAGATTATTTGAAACCGTGCTTTTAATTCACTATTAAACAGTGTTGTGATAGCGCCACAAATGTTTTCTTAATCATAATAGGAATATGGACTTTTATTTTTTTTCGTTGAAATGAAAGTTAGGCTTTAATTCTCCATATTAAATTCATTATATGCAAATTTTCTGCAGTGTTAAATTATTCATAAATATTTCTGTATATGGTGAAAATTACATACGTTTTAAACTCCTTATAATTTTGTACAATTAAAAGAAGCAGTGTGGCCAGTATTCCCTTTCACCTCCCTTTGTCGGACTTATACGAGTACACTTCCATTTGTCGCGTAAATATAAAAACAAAGTTACACATACATGTATATGTTTTTAATTACATTATTTTGATTGACTCTCTGTTCTATATACATATAGGATTTTAATTCAGCCGGGGCCCAAAATGAAATGTGTTCCGCTACTTAAATTTTATTGTTCAATTTTGTTATTATTTATTTTTTATTTTATCTTTATTCATGAATCTGCTTTGTGAAGCTAAAGAAAAAAGGGAAAAAATATTAATTTTAATGTAGCATATAATCGGTGTGGGTTTTTGTCAGTGTGGGTATTAGTCGCGTGAGCAATTATCTCAGTGGTGTCTTTTTTGTGGGCTTTTGTCGCGTGCGCTTTCTTCCAGTGGGCTTTTGTCTGGTCACCATCGAGAACTATCGATGTAGTATATCTTAATCGGACTTTAAGCTGGCACCGCGCCAAGCGTCGAAGTGCGCGCAGTAATACGAAAAGGAGTGGAATGCGAGTAGCTGTAATTATGGGAGAGCTGTAGATATAAGTGTGTATGCGAGTGATGATATATTTTGTATATAATAAAAATAGCATGTAGAGTAAAAGGGTGTATCTTGTGAAATAATTACCCACTAAAGGATACACGATAGCTTTATTGATTTTCGTTTATTTATGCATCATTACTTATTTCTATTCATTTGCATCACTACTTACTAGATATTCTTTTAAGGTTGTTTGCTTAGAAGACCTTTATGTAAAATTTAAGCAAAGATTTAAAAAGAATGGCATCATCGAAAGACGTGCGAATAAATCAAAAATACACTGTAAGCATAGCAAACAACAAGAAAAAAGTGACCGATATGTTAAAATGTAAGGATTGAAAAGTGTTGGTTAAATAAAATAACCCCTAAAAAAGACATACAGCAAAACTGAATAAAAGTAACATGTAGTAAAATTTCATAAATTCATAAAAGCAAACTATTTAATTAGGTGGATTATTTTCATATTTACCTTCTCGATTTGTAAAAATATTATTTATATGCTGCAAAACACCAGGAAGTAATTCAAATTCCTTCAAAATTAAAGTTTTGAGCGCAAAAAAAATTCGTTCTGCGATATCTACGCATGTTCAGATACAAAACTAAACAATTTTATAACAGTATTTCTAGCGAGAAAAATTTGGCTTCGAAAAGCAAAATTTAGTAGCAGACCTTCAACTTTTTTTTTTTAAACTGGAGCTTTGTTATAAAGCTCTGTAGATGTCTTCTTCAGAAGGCGTGAAGATTACTGTGGTAATTTAACGGGAAGGGGGAGAACATTTTTCGTACAGACTGCTTAAGGGGGTGGTTTTCGTATGTAGTTTTCGTATTTTCTTCCTTTTTCGCGCATTTGTACGACACCGGTAAAAATATAAACTTTCAAATACCTCCTTAAAGGAATGAGAGAAGCGTCTGTTATATTTCTCAGGAGAACTTCTCTTTCGGTTTGGTGACATTCAGCGTCTAATTTCCCAGGACTGATTTCATCAGATTTTCTATTAGGAAAGTAGTTGAAAGTTCAGGTTTTCCTCAAAACCTGCCAATTGTTAACAACTTTAAAAACACAGTTCAGGAGACTGCGTACGCTTCGCACGTTACACCACGTCAAGCATAGCAACTGTACTTGGAAGATGGCAGCAATGCCTTGACTGTCATGGAAAACATCTCTAAGAATTTGTATTGGAAAAGTGAGGCCTATTTTGTAAATTCCAGACAATGATTTACGTAACCGTGCTCAGCTGTATTTATAGTTGTGTACAATAGAAGTATAATCCGACTTTGAAAATGGGTAATATTTAATGCCACAGTTTGTTAAAGGGGAAACTGAAGAGCTTAAGTTTAGAATACAAGGGTTTAATAATAATAAAAGGCTGATTTAAAATTTATGTCATATATAGCATGACTTTTAATTACATATCAGTAAATACACATGCAAATTAACCAAAAAAGAGTAATATAAGAAAGTAAAAACAAAATTAATTTCAAGACAAGAAGAAAATTCTTATCTTCTCATTTTTTGATGATGCAGCGAAACTATTTTCTCACTTTTACTGACTTCTTCATTTTTAATGAACTTTTTCTTTCCCTTTCCTCAAAAGTAAAAGCTGCTCTTGAAAGAAACTGAAATGTTTAAAAACGCAACTCTCTTAAGTTAACCTTATAAGAATTTAACATGCAGAGTGTAGAAGTTGGTTGTGTAAAAATATTTTTCTCGTTGAGTGTTTCTATTCCCACAAGACATTCTACGAGGTACAGATACAGGTAGAATGAAAGAACCACCAGAAATTCACTCCTGATCGTTCCGGTATACCTGAATCCGCGGCATTAACTGTGCAGTTCCGCCCCAGTTCTCAGGGAAAATACCCAGGAGGAGTCGGTCCTGGGTATTTTCCCTGAGAAAGTGTATTCTACTCTTTTACTTCTACCTTCAACCTCTCTATAGAACTTTCGGCTCGCTGTGTAGTTTGAGCGGCCCCTTGCCGAAATGGTACTATATACGCTTACAAACGGGATTCGAACCCGGGCCCATCGGTTTGGCAGTACATTCTATGGGGTGCTATCTTGTACTGATCAAAGAAGTTTAAGAATCAAAACCTTAGGCAGTAGAAACGCGCCATAAGGAGGCAGGTGCAACACATTCACAAGTACAGGGCCAAAGGCAGGAGTCGTGAAATAGATAAACTGCAATTATTTTATAGCATCCTCTCCGTGGAGGTAAGAGTAAACTTACTTTCTACCTCCATGAATCCGCTCTGCCATTAAGCTCGAAGAAGACAAGATAGCGTATTACGTAAAAGAAAGGGGGGATAAACCCCAAATTTCTAGGAAAATATCATGTAAATCATCAATGTCGTATTTGCCCTCTATTGAAAGGTCCTATAGTGTCCAGAATTAATTAAAAAAGTTACAGCATCATGCATCTCTCTCGCGTATTTTTTGGTTTTGTGATTTAAATACACTCTAACTGCATAACATCGTTCTCACCTTAGAGCAAAACTTCAGAACAGCAAATCGGAAGTTCCGGCCGACAAAGACCAGGATGAAATGACGTCAGGATCTGCAGGTTTTAGCATTTCCTGATCTTCCTCCGGTTCCTCCAGGACTTGTGTGTTCTCCTCTTCTTCGGTATTATTCCTGTTTTTTTCTTCCTCTTTGTCCGACAGACTAGGGGCCACTGGCCGAAACATGCCTGGCTCGAAGTTGTCCATTGTTCGCAGAACGCTCGGGGTGTAAGAGGAGAGGCCTCCTGCACCTGCAAGAAGTAAAAATAACTTTGTTACAGTTGTTATTGACTTAAAATGCATGAGACAAATTTACATGTTTATTCTAACCCTCTAAAACTGGAAAAGTATGTACACGTTTTGAGGTTCACGTGCAAAAAGACTGCAAAAAGATAGCACTTAACAAAAGAGTTTACTATTAAAAGGTAATAAATAAATATAAAAATAAAAACATTTTAAAATATAAGAAATCATTTCAAATATGAGTGTGATATAATCTGCATATACGGCCTCTGTATATAATACACGGAGCCAAATATTGTTATGAGTTTCCAATAAAATGTTTCTTTTGAATGATTAACTTAAACGCTGTATTCAGCAACTTATACAATATCGAAGATAAAATTGAGTGTTCTTCCATTGGCAACAAAGTCTGTTTATATCAAATGTGATTTTATCGAAGTTAATAACATTTCTTCAAAATGTAGAACAGACTCTAAAAAAAGAGAGAGAGGGTGAGATATCGATACGAATCACCCAAATTCAAATCTTTGAGTTTTCTACAATTTTTTTTTCATCACAGAACAGTCATTAAAATATTTATCACCTGCCAAAGAATTCCTTCCTAAATACAGTATCCATAACTTTCACGTTACGGTGAGCTCTCCTTCATTTTAACACTGAAGAAAGGACTAGAACAGCAATGTTCAACATACAGACTGCGGGCTCCAATTTGACCCACCAGCTACTATTTTTATTTTAAAAATATTTTACGAATTAGATACAAATAAATAAATAAAACTTATAGAAAAATACTTTATAAATAAGAAAAATCGTGCACCTCATCATAAGAAGGACTCAAATCACTGTTTGATGTCGAAATGTAAGACAGTTTCAATAAATAGTTCAATAATAATTAACGGAAATGCCAATGTCTTCTGACAATCAACAACTCACGGACATTCTGAACATCACATTACACGCAGATAACTAATTAGCACTTTTGGAATTAAAAGCAACTACAGATTTCGTATAACTCAGCTTTGGGTATAAGGCACAAAATAAATAACCGATAAAAGTAACTTATATAAAAAATTATCATTATTTTATAAATTTGAAATATTTAATTTTAAGGTCCATTTCTAACTTTTTTACTTACGTTACATTTATTTGTAAATAATAAAATAAGAGTAAGTATTAGTAAGTATATGTAGATAATAATAATAATATTATATAGTAATAAATTAATATGTAAATTTGTAATATGAATATAATTTTGTCCATTCTCAATATTTTTGCTTCTGTTGTAATTTTATATGAACATACTCTGGCCTACTATGCCTTTCAAGTTTTGAAAAGCCTTTAAACAAAATGATTGGACATACCTGAACTAAAATCAAACCTTTTTTTTTTTTTTTTTTCAAAATCAATCGCTTTATACCGAAACTGAAGGATATAGCAGCATAAAAACTAAATATTTTGCATAATAGGAAATTACTAATACCCTGCTTCAAAAATCTTTTCAATGCATCTTGTTTACAATTAGCAACTAATGGAATAAAAAAGTGCAAGAATAATGCACAGTTCCTCAGAACGTAAATAAAATTCGATAACGCTCATGCATGTAAAACTTTTCAAAGTTTCTCTGCTACGAAAGCAAATAAGACGTGTTGAAGTTATCAAGGTGAACAAAATTGGTCATCTGCTGTACAACCTAATATAAACAGGAAAGGTTTGGTGTGTATTTAATTACGGCAAAGCACACTAGGGCTATCTGCCTAAGGGGAGGGATTCCTTCGTGGAGGACTTTTTAAGGGAAACTGGCTCGTATACACGTTACACACGGGGAAAACCACGAAAACACCCATGCAGCCAGCCCGTTCGCGGGATTCGAACCTCGGACCGAACTACCAGTGTTCAGCGACTTTACCGCTGGTGGGCCTATGAACAGGAAAAGACAGGATAAAGAATTTAATATTTTAAAATGACTGCAATATAATCTATATTAGTACTGCGTCTTATAAAATTGAAATTTTTTAAACAAAAGATATTAATTGGAAAGGGTGATATTAAAAAAAATACTAATGTCGATACCTTATTATTCCAAAGGGGCTTTGTCCCTGAGGGACTATTGTTTTCGTTTTCGATTTTGCGTTGAATCACTATAAATGTCCGTTTCACTTTTCATACTGTTGCCACCAAATGTTAGAGTCCTGCATTATATATAAAGAAACTAAATAATGAAAAATCTGCATAAATGTATGTATATTTCTCGCATTGTGATAAAACAACGGTATCTAGAGCCATCCAATTTTGAATGTCGTAATCCTACTGCGAATATGGGCATTTGAAATCCCAAATTTGAAATTTGGAATTTGTTTTATTATTTATTGATTTCATATTTTGTAAAACTTTAACGAATTTTTGAGTAACAAACTCAACGATTTAAAAGCGAGCAATGGCAACACTCAACGGGGAAAAAAAAAACCTTTTTATCTCCAGCGGGGGCGGAACTGTGTATCGGAAATTCTAAAGATATGCTCATTTTAAAATTATTTTGCGACATTGCTATTGAACTGAAATTTATGGTTTAATTGCGAAGAACATGATATTTATTAACAAAACGTTAAAAAAAATTCAGATTTAAAAAAAAAATTGTTTAATTATTTTTAAATAAGTAGGTTTCCTTAACTAACGCATTCTTAAGCTGTTTGAGAAGTACAGTTAAAAAAAAAAAATGATTCTTATTTTACATTTTGTATGCTTCATACAGAACATGAATTGCTCACAAATATGTATGCATTCAAAAAGATATAGCATGAAGACAGAATGTTCAAGAAAGACTGAAAATTTTCCAGTTAGGGAATCAGTTTTCTTCATGATGCGTTCGTTATCTGATTATTATTCTATATTCTGTGTGTTCCATTAGCAATGTCTCAGATAAGTTAGATGTCAACTTACAGTTAAGTAGTAAATAAACTGAAATGAAGTTGGTGTTTTCTGGAAACTTTAAATCAACTTTTGAAGTCATCTGATTAAATAGTAATCCTTGCCACATAGTTTTTGCTATTTACACAACTTTGTCAAGACAGAGGGAAGTTGTTTCTACAAATGTAAGATTGATCATTTATAGAAACAACTTCAGTTTAATTTGAAATCTTATCAACGTTTGAAATCATTTGTTAGTTGCATCTGACCTTAAAAAATCATGTTTAGTTCATTTAAATAAGCATTTTTCTCTAAAAAATCATGTCGCCAATTTTTATTTTCAAATTCAACACCGAGAGCAATCATCTTTTACACACCATAGACCGCATCGACAGGCGCTGACAGTTACACCACCGTGAGCTGAATAACAAATTTCTTGAAGTAGCTGCAGTCTTTCAAAACATTTTACAAAAAAAATTATCGGTGGAAATTATCGAACAAATAAAAATTATCGGTGGAATACTATTTTGGAAGATAATAGTGATGAAGATTAAATTTACCATTCTTTATGCGCAATAAAATAATATATTATTAAATGTTATTAATTTTAATTATTTTTTTTCTTTTATATTTTACTCGCTTTGTAACGAAATTTTCCGAATTCAATAAGATAGTGTCCTTTTCACTAAACTGCAACAAAATGACTGATGTCCAAACAAAGTCACTTTAAAAGATATAATTTTAAAGTGTTTGTTGAATTAAAAAAAAAAAAAAAAAAAAAAAAAAAAAGAATCAAAAGAAGAATTTCAATGCTTAATATTGTAAAATTCTTAGTTTCTTCACTGTCAGATCCGAAATTTCGAGGCAAACATATACCGCCATCTATCGCACTAAAACTGTAATAAAATAACTAGCGCCAATAGAAGATTAAGTCGCTTTTCCGGAAAGTCAGGTATCATTTGCATACATTTTTAGCATAAGAGAAATTTTTATCCTTATTTTTTTAAAACAACAAATTTCATTGAAATCAGTTTAATTACAAAATGAACTCACTTACTTATCAGCATGCATTAATTGGATGTTGTTTTCGACGAATTTTTATTTACACTCTGAATTTTGGATAGTTAACTGGCTGTAAATAATGGACAACAATTTTCAACTGGTTCATAGTAAGCCGACGCAGCGACGATGCCTTCAATAATTGACGCTATTCCTCTCATTGCACGGTTCCTGCCTGTTTAATGCTGATTTCCTTCGACTGTCCGGCTACACATCTCCTAGTGCCTGTACCATCATCATTTTCAACTTATGCAAGGACTAATGCCATATGAATTGTTATATTAAGATATGCCTTACAGCACCGTATGATTCCAACGATCGAAAAGTGACGCCAAGTTCGTTAGGGATAGGACACTTCAGTCCGGGCAAAAAAAGGAACATATCGTTCAAGGATGGTAGTAAGCCGGGTAAAAAATTAACCGCTGTAAGTGTGAGAGTAAAATATTAAACATTTTTCCTTTAGACATCAGACATTAACTGAAATCTGTTAGATATGCCTTATAATTTTTTAAATGTGCATATTAGCAACTTCATTTATGAGCAACACGAAACCAGTTATTCTTAACCGAAATGCATAATGTAGGACTTCAGAAGTTTATTCTATTAATTAATATTTTAGTGTAAACGTTCCATAAAAATAAACAGTTTAATATAAAGTTTACCGAATGAGCATAATAAACAAAATCAAAAGTCAAAATAAAATTATAAATTACTAAGAATTACGTATATTTAAATTTGAATATCACTTTTTATAATAATAAACAAATATGTTTCTGATCCGAAAGATAAATTAAAATCTTATGCTGCAAGTTCACTAGATGGCTGACATAAGATGCAAAAGAATCAGCTCAGTTGTTTAAAAAATTAGGCGAAAAGGCAGCCTTAAGATTTTGAACGAAACTTAATCGATTTCATAGGTATTAACATTCTTATGATGTTTTATTATCATGCACAAAATACACATTAAACTAGAAATATTTTTATTTATGCATATAATGTTATGAGTTGGTATATGGCAATACTGAAGTCTGCAGTATTTTCTAGAACATGAAATTCTATAAGATAGTGGTCTTAAATACAAACTCCATGCGGGCTGAATGCACGGTCTGAAAAGGGCTGACGAGCCAGAATTTTTCTTTTGTTTTTTTAAAATAAACTAAAAATTTTTCATCAAATAAATAAATAAATAAATAAATAAAAATCAGTTTCAAATTAATTTTTAATTTGGTTTATTAAATATTAATCAATTATATATATATAAGGATAATACTATCGGAATAAAAAATTCAAATTTATAGCTATTTTCTATCAGAAGTTTGTTACCCGTTTCATTTCATAAATCAAAGATACTGAGAGCTAAATATTACACTTTCTGATTAACGTTTATTTCAAATAACTCTAAATAGGTTTAAGTAATCATTAAATAATTTACTTTAATCCCCCCCCCCCTCAAAAAATGAAAAATTTGTAAGTTTACACAGAAAATTTACCAAGTGAGACAGATCTTGAGACTAAATAATAACATCTTTAGCCTCTTTCTTTTATTTATTAAATTTTTCGTCGACGCAAAAATAAAAATACATAAGTTTTTATGCAATTATAAATGTCTTTATTTCTTACTACACCTTGTTCCGATTCTGATGAAGTTTGTAGCCTTGTAAAAAAATAACTAGAAATTATCCTCATCACGGATTATAAATCAGTTACATTCTTATTAATTTCCATCTCGAAAGTAAGCTGCTCACACAGAAATGTATCCCCAACACAGCGATTATCCTTTGTGCAAAAATTCGTAACTGAGGGAATTTATGCTTTGAAAATGTGATTAAAAGTTAATCAAATCTATGTCTTCCAGTCTTTGAATAAGATTTATATTACTTTGTAAATTAATTAGCTCCATTTATAGATTTTCTCGTGCGTTATTAGTGTTCGGTTTTGATGGTAATGAAAAATAGTGTAAACTCGGACGTCAAATAACTAAAATTTTGAAATCTTTGCAACGCCATATTTGCAACAAATACAATTAAACTGTATACGCGGACTGCATAAAACTGCTTCAGGGGCCGAAAGTTTGAGACCCTGCTATAAGTTTCCCGCTCTTCTTCTTCTTTTTTTTTTTTTTTTTTTTTTTTTTTTTTTGAAAACTTTTATATTCATCAGTACTTTTAAGACGTTCTCGTGCAAACTCTATATTGGTCATATAAGTCTTGCCTATGTTGATCAATACTTTCAAGATTCGTCACTTAATCTTTAATATCAGATACCCTTTTTCTAAACTGATATTTTATTTTTTAGTTACGCATAAATTGAAACATTTTGCTCTTTAATTTATGTACGGTCACCTGAACATGATCTCGAACTTTAAAATGAAATATTCAATCAATTTTACTTACGCGTGTTCCACATTTTTCATTATATATTTTACAATAAGTACAAAATTTTCCTAAATACAATTACAGGGACTGGAGGAAGGTGTGAAAAGTTACATTCCGTAACGTTTGCAAAATTGACGTTTTTAAATTTAAAAATGCCAATAGATGAATGTTTGCATCATTTAAAACTTTTTTTTTTTTTTTTAATTGCAAGTAGATGGTTATGAGCACCAATTGTGAAAATGAAAGCGGAGTAAGGAATTTTTTTGGACAAACTACAGCCATGGAATTTCAGCTGTAATTTAGGATTAAAATTATATTTTTTGGCCTCTATATTTTAGCCCATGCATGTAATTAAGAAATTATAATTATATGATAGTTTTAATTGTATAATATTCTTACTCTGGTTTTATATGCACTGCCAATTTTTAATTGATTCTTCTAAATTCTCCATCAGTTTTTATAACAATCTTTTTGTATATATGTTCTTTTTTTGATTGCATCGAAGAACTATCTTCGTCGTTCTAATTAATTTATTTTCGAATTTTATAAATCAGTTTTTTTTTTCGATTAAAAGAATTCATTCAAACATAAGAAGGAGGCGAAACGCGATCATGCTAGAATTATTGCAGTTTCTTTTTTTTTCCGGGGGGGGGGGAGAGTTAATTCCTCTTGATAAGTCAGCACTCTCCGAGAAATCGGGTAATTTATTTACTTTTTATATGTATTGTTCTACCTTAATTTTTATGTGTGTGCTTTCTTTTTCTTTTATTTTAAAATGTACATTTCTCAGGCGCACCTATAAAAATCTTTAAGTTTATTACAAGTTTTTTAATACCTTTATGACAGCCCTCTTAAGTTTTAAGCAATAGATTTACAATTCCTTTCCTAAAAGATAATCAATCATACACACACACACACACATATATATACTCATATATATAAATTTGAATTTAACAAATATTCTCTATTCGTAAAAAGCAAATAAAATTTAATTAAGAAGTTTTAAAAGAAATAAAAGTTAAAATAATTATTATTGCTGCGAACTAATTTACAATATCATTTAAATTTTAAGAGCATATGTAAATTAATTGCACGTACAATACAGTGAATTTTTAAAGTAAAAATTCTTAACTCAATTTTGGGACAGGAAAATTTTAAAAAACTGGGAATCTAAATAGTATTGCTAATTTAATTCACTAAATTTTGAAAATTTAAAATAACTATTGTTATTAAAAATACTGCAAGTTAAAATTTTAAAAAGTTAAAAAATTTTAGTTAAGCATAAAGGTATTTAAAAGGAAACCAAACTATTTGAACCAAGTGAAATTTGAAAAAAGTGAAATCAAACAAGGTAATTAGCGCTAAAAGTTGCTAAGTACTAACAAAATTGTTTCACAAAAAAATAGTAAAGTTAAATTAAATTTAAATAATATATATAAAGAAACTTAATATTATTTGGTATTAAATCGATTAAATTTTCGAAACATACAATAGATAATTCAATAGCTTTCGTATATTAATAGAATTTGAAAGAACTAATTATTCTTATAATTTTTTGAGAAAAGTTTCAAATACTTGCTTAATTTTCGACAGTCTTGAAATTTTTTCTCAAGATTCAACGTTTAATTTGCGGAAAGTCGTGGAAAATAATCCGAAACATTCTACTGTTACCAAGATAGTTTTTTTACTATGCAGAGTTAATCCTGCTGAGATCCAGAATCAATATTAATCGCGAACATGGATAATAATGTAATATTTGAAATTAGCTTTTAATTCAAACGAAATACAGCTTTAGAATAGTTCCTCTAAACTGCAATTTGGTTGGTAGGGTTACGCTGACGGCACGCGAGGGCTTTATATTTAGAAGGGGTGCTTTCTTTGAGGCCTTTTCAAGAAAACTGTTCATATTAACTTTACACAGCCAGAAAAACTACACAGGTTACGTTAAGTTCTTCGGAAATGGCAAAGCACACGAAGGCTATATATAGGCCTAAAGGAAGAAATACCTGCGTGGAGCATTTTTTTAATGAAAACTGGGTCATATTTATCTTACACATGGGTAAAATCACGAAAACCAATCCTTTTGCCAGCCCGTTCTCCTGGGATCGAACTCAGTTCAAATTCCCAGTTCCAATGGTGGAGCGAAAAATTACAGAAATACCATGCAGCGAGCCCGTTCACCGAGAAAATAACCCGGGAATGTTCACCAATCATAATATAGCCACTTGGCCACTGGTGGGTTGGAACTATAAGCAACAGCTTTATAATGCATACAACTAAACAAATAGCAGAAGTAAAAATCAGTCGATTCTGCATTGAAATACACAAAATATGATAAAAAGAGCTTTTATCAATTATAGTAATGCTACACATGTTTATAATTAGGAAATGGACGCTTTAATACGATTAACATACATTATAATTAATGCATAGTAATAATTAAATAACTGATTATAAATGAAATGAACTTATACTAGTTAGATACATTAACGAAAAAAAAAAAAAAAAAAAAAAAAGAATTTTGTACAAAAATAATAAATGATGCTATAGAAAAATTGTCCATTGTTTGCTGCAAGGTTGGTTAGGTTATTTAATTACCGCAAAGCCTCGAGTGCTATCTGCCTAAGGAAAAGGGTGCCT